GTGAACACAAACTTTTTTTTTAATCAATTGAAATGAAATAAAACTACGCCCCGGCTAGTCTGGTACTTCTGAGAAGCCTTAAATATTCATAATAATATTTACATAATCGATATAGCCATAATTATACCAGTATGCGTTATGGTATTTATTTACGTGGACTTTATTCCGAACAAATAATTCTATTCCGATTTCTATGGAATCCCGGAAGTCCTGCTGCAGTACCGGAGACCAATAACGCGTTATTCTTGTTTTTATTTTTTCCACGTAAAATATAACTACGTTCGTTAAAATTGTTTATTTCTTTGGTTTGTAAGTTTTTAAGATATGTTTTCTAGACGGGAAAATAAAAACAGAAGATTGAGTATTTTTCGTAATATATTGTCAATACATTTTATTATGGGTACCTACGTTAGATAACAACTCAATTTAATCATTATTAGAAAAGACTCACTTATTCACATTCTACAAATTATTATCTATATTTAATTAGGTTCCCCTTATCTAATTTACTCGATGTGCATTATTGCTGTTTGTACAACTTGTAATTTATTGAATTTTTTTTTTTTTTTTTTTTTATAAATTATACAATAACAAAAGAGGAGTGCCGATTATGCATGAGATATAATAATAATTCAACACAAAGGAAAATTGTATTTATATAATGCATTGTACAGGTGTATACTTCCGCGCTTAATTTGAAAACTAACTTTTTCATTACATTATTATATATTTAACTAAAATTATTATAAAGCTATATATCTATATATAACCATAAATACTAAATTGCATACGAGTTTGACAAATATTATAAATTTAAAAATTTGTAAATTGTTTTATGTTGTTTATATAAATATATTAATCGTAAATTCGTTTAGAAAGTAATGATACATTTATGATCACATTATATGTGATAGGTATATAAAGTTTTATTAAAATGAATTTTAAGTATATAATATCTCTCATCTGATTATTCTTTTAAGTTAGTTCTAAGATAAATTAATTCGGATTATATATACCTACTTGTTTGACGTGACAGTAAAAAATATTGTATTGGATATAACTTATAAAAGGAAGGGAGAAGAAAAGTAATTGAAGTTAATTCGTTACGTTGTGTGTGTGTATACAATATAATTAACTACAATTTGATATACAGATGACATTATGATATATATTAATTTCAGGTTTTCCGGTTATACTAATAATGATGAATTATAATGAATAAAATGACCAACTATTAACTTCTATATGAAGAGGTTTATCGTCACCGCCAATACCTACGTGTGAGTGCATTCATATTTTTTTAAATTTCTTTATACCAACTGTTAATTTCTACATATGTGTGAATCGATACGATTATTGTCGGCTTAATGAAATAGCTGTGTGCAATTATACATTAAATTTTTAATTTTTTTTTTTTATCTGTCGTTTATTCTGCAATATGCCAATATCTCGCGCTTAATATAGGCTTAATATTAAATACATTATTATATTACGTGCAATGTGCATGTTTATAGGTATATAATCAGGTATACGCTGCACGACGGGTCGATGGATATACGACCTGCAGTCTAGGGGCGTTTATTAAGAATAAAATACGGCTGCGGTAGGTGTCTTATTAATTAAAATAAAAAATAAGCGTTATTTTTTGCACTCGACCAAACGCTCATTATAAATCACAACTGCCGGTTTCTCTACAACCTCGCCGCCACCACCATCCGCGTTAATTTCAGGTATCGTCTTATATTTTTTTCCCGCTCCCCGTGTAAATATATATCATTATACAAATACCTCAGCGTTAATTAAATATACACATATGCAGTGTAACTTACAGTGCGAAGCGCGGTAAATTTTTTATACTTGGATATATAGTCACAGTGACAGTGTAATTACCCAGACGGTTCGGGTCACTGAGCCCTACAACAGAGAGTCGTATGATATATCGTGCACGTATTTTATGAAATTTTCTAAATTTCTGTATGATGTAGATCCGCTGCAACCCTCGCAAAAATTTCACCGATATCGTTACTATTTTTACAATTCACAAGGTAAATATATTTTACAACAACCGCGATGGATAATATATACCTATATAACCCATATTGTTAATAATAACAATAATAATACTCGTGTAAAATTCCAAAAAACTGGTAATCTGAACCGGTTGCAGGTTTTTTCCCACCACCACCCTCGGTATACCTTTATTTTTTTTTCTATCAAGACAAAAAAAAATATCTCCCACCTTGCTCCCACGGCACTGCATCTCTCACTCCCACCCGCGGTCGACCGTGTCGTCCTCTTTACGTACACGAACGATTTACGCGTAGCCACCGATTATTTATTATAGGTATGTCGCCGTCCGCCGCCGAGGTCCATGTTATTATTATTATTATTTAATGCCAGCGAAAAGATCCGGTTCTGGTTCGTGCTCGAAGGTCCACCCTCCTCATGGCTGTGCGTGTTCGTATACGTGTACGCGCGTCCGAAGTTATGCCTAAAAAATAAATATCTTCCCGTACCAATTCGTACCTTATATATTGGTGATATATCATATATATGATCGATTTTAAAATATTAATTATTAAAGCTTGCTAACAAGTACTGAGTGTGTAGGGTGCGATTTTTTGTGGTGCAACAGCAACACACATTTAACTATTTCTTTGAAAATACAAAATATTTAGTATACTTAATAATTATATTCCTATCAGAATTCTAATAGGTACATGGAAATACTGAAATAATTTAAAAAAAGAAAATGATAATCTTTAATGGAGTTTAATGCAATTATGGAAATATTAAATTTAATTTTTAACACTGTAAAAAGTTTATATAATGGTCGTTATATTTATGTGAACGTTTAACTTAAATTAATCCTATAAAATTAATACAAATAATTATACTTAACTAAGAAACCGAATATTTTATTTGCTGATACATTTACACGAGGTTATTACTTGAGATAATAAAATTATAAAGTATAATGGCTCAATTAGGGTAGCTAAGTAGGTATACTCTTAAATTGTTTGAACAATACGACAAAATAAAACGTTTAATCAATGTAACTTAATATGTGTTTTATCATAAAATTTTTATTTTTATTTATTTAAGATGAATTCAAGACGCTCTACCCCAAGGCGTATACTTTTATAGGCTATTTGTGCCACTGGTATATAATTGAATAATAATTATATAATAAAACTGTCAACGACGTTGTCACATTTTATACGCAAATACCAAAAGCAATAGTTTTACATTTATTTTGTATAAATAATAGCTTGGCTGAATATAAAGACGGCAGATATCAGGCATTAGCGTCTTCTTAATAATAGCTAGCAATTTATATTAATATCCAAAAAGCATTAAAATAGAAACAATCTCCGCCCGGAATTATTGACTACGAGTCAAACACATTTTATAATTAATTTGTTGTTCATATGATTTTATGCCGAATACTGTCATCTGCATACTAATATTATATTACGTATATGATATATTAAAAATATACGATATTGATGTTAGTATGACACGCTAATTGAAATTAATCGTATTTAGGTATTTATTATTTGAAGAATTGAAGTATATATAGTGCACCAGATAGGTTTTTTGTATTAATTATCAGGTTTTACGTTAATATACTACAGTATAATATGGTGCATTATAAGTCAATCAATTTTCCGTCAAAATAAATCGAAGATAAAAACAAAATAAAAAATGATATTTATCTATTTTATATATTATTTAGCTACTCCTAATATACCTATCACATAAAGTATTTAATTTAAAGGGTTCAAAATATTTTGATAGATGTAAATGGATAATAAAATATTTTTAAGAAATACATGCAAATGGTGTTTTAAAAATAATAGAAACATTTAACATAACATATGATTTCATCACTGTGTATTATTTATTTATTAATTGAGTTTTCAAATTTAAAATTTTTCTTTCAATAATTTAATTTCAGTTGATAACGATTTAAAAATAAATTTTTTTATCTGGTCTCAAATAATAATACTCATAAAAAGAATATATAGATAGAACACTGTACAATGTAGTACATAATATATCTAGAACTTATATACTTGTCAGAAATTAATGAAATAACTTTTCAGCACGCAAAAATTGTATAAAATATTACATCATATTATTTATTAGCTTATTACTGTTATTACACTTCATATACTACGTCTCAAATATTTGATTAATTAGCCTGGGCTATTATTATTTTTAAGTGAGTTGGTCATCAGTGGATTATACATAAATATATATTATTGATGTAAGACATTAAGAAAAAACGATTTATCAGATTTTTCATCCTTAAGATATTTTATGATATGATTGATTGGGACTTTGGCACGTTAATTGTTCTTAAATTTATAAAATGACAATGTAATAGTCGACGTGACGGATGTACGCATCGAATATTATAGATTTCTGCACATAACGTTATTTTTAATATGATGAAAATTATACCATGCGATTTTAATAATAATTGTACATTAGTCGTATCACTGCCACAGACTATTCGCGCGAGATTATTGAGTCTTGAGAGGCTGTATATACAACATTCCATCGCAGATGAAATCATTCATTACCCCACCCTCAAGCCTCGTGGTGGTGGTATCACTGACTTGGAACTCGGCCACGTCGTATCCATAATATATATGCATATTTATATCGGAACTGTTCCGTACGCGCCGTCCTATCCTTTTTATTTCTGTTATATATTTTATTTTTCGCCTATTTTCGTATCGCACCGCTTTGTTTCGCCCCTCGGCCAATCGAAACGCGCGTTTGCGGCAATTATTATTGTCGTTAAATAATGCGACTTTCTGCATGCGCGAACGATCCCATCCCGTCAGGCGCGAAACTCTTAAATATAATATTATTGCACATAAGTATACAACATCGTCTGGACGACGAGTGCCAAGAAAATGCCTACACATCGTATGATATATATTAATATGTAAATCCGATGGCGGTGATAATTTTTTAATACTTACCAGCGAACCGCGCATGTGCCGGTCGACATGACATAAAACTATTGCACGTACTCAATATGACATATATTCATATTATACATACATATCTATATATATATATATATATTATATCCAACGTTCGCTTACCTAAAACAAAATAAAAACAAGATGTAATTATTAGTCAGAGTCGTTTGATTCGATCAGTCGATCAATGTAAGCATAAATGATGTATAGAATTGAGAACAAAATGTTATTCATATATTTTATAGGCAACGTTACATAACAATACATAATACGCGGATATATGATACAAACTATTATTATAGGTAGCATAGATGTATAACTATACTATATATGCATATCCGGCGTTGTAATTTAACAATACGCAAAAGTTTGCAGCCCGCTCGGTATAGAGAGTAGGTGCATACGATATATTTTATAGACGTGAGTACGGTGTATCAGTGGAAACGACTGTTTTAGAAACAAAGCGAGTTCATAAAAGGACAAGTCACCGTGATGCAGAAGGAAAAGGTCCCTTTATTCCAAGGGTTGTTCGCGACACCCCTCGGAGAAATTGTCCTCATAAATCTCGAGCTCAGTTAGACTAAAACCTTAGTATACAAATATATATACATAATACGTGTTAGTGTATGTGTATGTATGGATCGGAGAAAAGGAAAAGTAGAGGAAAAAAAGCGTGGGACGCTTAAAAAAAAGGAACGGATGTCTCGGAGACACTCCCAGATGTCATTGTTATTTATTCAGTCGCGCGCGCGCCAGCGTTATAGTATCCTCTCTGTAATACATCTCTGTCGAGTTGTATACTGAAAAATGCGCCCAGATATTTAATATTATTATTTATAGTATTGTATTATAAACGACATAATGTTAACGTGCATATGCGTCTCGTGTGTATGAGCGCGATTCGCTGTATCGATATTGCCATACACAGCATTTAACATATTAGAGGTATAGAGCGTCGGACATAATATACGCTTACTAGACCGCTGGCGCTATGTGTTCGTGATGTACGACTATTTTTATGTTAATATACATTTAAAATCTGTTTTATCAAGTACGACGGTTTCGTTCGCGCGCGACACTATTATAATATAATATGATATAATATATATATAAGTGCAGTTTCGGATGTTTTACAAGGCCGTTAAGGATCGTTAGAGGCGTGTCCTGGCACGATGAATATATACACACGACACCATTAAAAAGCGCTCTGCGCGTGTAAATAAATAAATATATATATATATATATAATTTATAATTTAATAATAATAATAATTAATTAAATCTATATCGGGTCGTTTTCGTTGCATTTAAGCTATTAAGTCGTCTAGAACAGGCGATCCGCCACCGCGTGTACACTTGGCGAATTGGTGATATGCCCATATTATTGCGCGCAAATACACAAACACACTTATATAGTATATACCGCGCCGTGCACAGTAGTCGCTCGCGTTTCGTACAAGGGGGAAACGACTCGTTGGTCCGGCCATAAAAGAGTACATTCTCCTCTGTATTATTCTCTAAATATTCTCTTTCTCTCTATCAATTTATATATATATATATTACATCAATATAATACACACATACTGCAGTCGCATGAGGACCAGTATAATATATTATTTATCGCACGAATATTCCGGTGACATTTCTCTAGACAAGGATGCGCGTTTAAAATTTATATTATCGTTTTTGCTCTATCTCTATCTCTTTCACTCTATTTCTCTCTTTCGTTTTCCCTTAAATACGAAAATTTTGTATTTTTCCACTGTACCCTCACCAAAAACTTACTCTTTGTCGACGCTCCCGAGAGGAAACGCGATTTTCAGCTATATTTTTAAGGCGCCAATGGACTTCCGATGGCATCGAGATAATATAACAGCCAGGCGATATTTATATGCACTCGCGATATAAACGTCACGATGCGTTTAGGAAGCGCCGTCGGAGAGATACGACGGTTTTCGTCGTGACGCCACGGAAGTACATTATGTACATGTGTATGTATATATGTGTGTGTATGTGTGTTTGTATACACGTGTGTTATATGGATATTGCATGTCGCTACACGGCGACGTTCAGATATACAAAGAGTTTTTGTCGTTACACATAAAATATATCGTTTATTCTATAAACATATATACATACATAAATAGTAGTACACGCGTTGTGTTCACATAGTGTTTCAGTCATTGTAGAGCATTCCTTCTTACGAAGAGTAATAAAAACGGTTGGGCCGAAAAATTAGATCTATTCGACGACTTAATTCATGCGTTAATAATACGAAAAATTCAATTGCAAAAAGCGAGACAAACTTGCAGCGTTCGGATCGCATAAATTGGTTTTTCGTTTACACAGTAACTAAAAAGAAATTTCTTGTATATAAATAAAAAATACTTGAAAACAGTAAAATTTATGTTTATGTCTACGAAATTCATATAATATATAGCTCAACGAAAGGATTATGTATATTTTTATAAAATAGGTGATAAGCACGAACGGTGTGTTAAAAAATCAACTAAAAACACTCCAGACCGTATAAATCGTATACGTAACATATCGTCATACATATATATCTATATATTTATTATATTATACTCGTTTTCTTTTAATAAACATTGTCCCGGACGTCTTTCGTGTATATTTCATTCAGATATATATTACATGATATTATAAATGTACGAGGAAAAATAATTTCTCGTTTCCTTCTATCGTGTATATGGCTATGTCCGTGCGTGTGCGCGCGCGAAGTAGTCGTTGAGATATTATAAAAGTAGGTACAGAGTGTATGGACAAAATGTTGTTATTTACGGGGGCTGCGGCGTATAAACGATTAAGGAAGCTCCTTCTTAAGTCCGAGATGCATAATGACCTATACATATACGTGCGCAAGTACGCATATTATGTATACGATTTGAGTGATTTATGGTGCATATAAATCTCTAGACAGCAAGTCATTAAACCGTCGTTTACCATATTAAAAATACGATTTATATATACGCCGAGCAATGACGATGCAGCGTCGTTTTCATGGGAGTGTTACTGCGATTTATACTCGGACCATGGTTACCAAAAGGATTTAGGCGCAAGATTTTTCCAAACCCACGGGGGTGATGAGAGACTATATCCACCCACTCTTTGAGCAACGACGTGTCACAACTACTACAATAACTAATAAGAAATAACGTGTACAATATAAAATATATATATATATTTGAGTCGAAGTATATCATTTGTAATATCATATATTATTGTTTTGTTCTACGTGATCGATTGTAGAATATTAAGTATAGAAATATATACACAGCATTTCGTTATAACCCGCGGAACACGCCTTGTTCAAAACGATTACAATATTTGATAACACCATTCCCCGGGTATGTACAGGATAAATGTGTAGAATAATCTATTAGACCATGCGGTGTTTCATACTAGAAAAAACTAGGCGGACTATCCTATCGCCGTCGGGAAATAATAATATTATGTACATTCCGCTGACCGACCACTTTGCTCATATGTATAATATATGTATAATAATAATATATGATATGCGATTACCGAAAATCCAAATCCATACATACACAGTATATACACAGATACACACCCATCGACAGCATCTAAGCAAAGTTATTATACTGCATAATACGAGCATAGTTTAGATCCGTACAAGAGTAGAAGTAAGATAAACTGGTAAGTCACGTCCGCGCGTATTCGGTGTGCACTGCGGTCAGCGCGGTTTATAACCACCGTATACGGAAATTAATAATATTCTAAAAAAAAAAAAACTCAATTAGTGAACACGTCTACGATCGTGTGAGACGAAATCAATTTTTTTTTCGAACGATTGTACCGATACGCGTAGTACAACTTGTTGTTTAAGGTACCTCAACCGCGCTGCATATAATATAATATGTATCGCGCAGTATACGCCTCCGAGGAGAAAAATATACGCCTGTTCGCCGCCGTCGGTTTGCATGGACGCGTGATTTTTAAGATACGACGACGTTTGTACGTACAAGCACGTGATTTGTACGACTACAAAATATCAAACCGATGATTATTAACGGAACGTCGAAGTGTTCGATAAAAATATAGAACGACAAGCCACCCACCTAGAAGGCATGGGTACAATACGTAATATTGGAATATAATAACAATGAGTTATAGAAATCCGTAGAAACGTTAAGTGCTGTTTTCGGGAACAAATTTATGAACAATAGTTGTCCGTCGTTATTGAAACTATCCTCGGGTGTTGCATATGAATCAAAACGATCAAATCGACAATCGTTTGTTGATTTGTCGGCGAAAAAATTAACTCTACGTGAACCGCTGTCGATGTGAGAGTAGACTATTGTGTATTATTATGTATGTAGATACCTATACATGTATAATATTAGTTACTGTTTTAACGGTCTCGCGCCCGGTTCGTTTTTCGGAATAATATTTCTATCTTCTCGTTATAACTATGCACGGCATTCGAGCGTTTAGCGATTTCGTTGAACATATATACGCAGCAATTTGTGATATTAAAAGCATTAAGTAATATTATCTTCCCTATAACATTTTAAGCACTGTTTTAGTTATCCTACGAATTTGGTATAAATGTATACATGCGGACATGCGGTCACGATCTATGCACGGGCGCCCACAGTAACGCCACTGCAATAATGTCCACCCCCGGTCAGAGGGTTGTCGTCGTTGGTGCTATCGGAGTGGGGGTGCGATGAGAGACTTAAGCCATCGTCTCGGCAAAAACCGTTGCAGCCCCCGTAAATTTAGGTCCGAGTTTAATTTCGCTAATAGACCTACTCCTCGAAGACGTCAGTCCCCCTTTTTGAATATTGTGTAATACAATATATATATATATATATATAATTCACATATATAGACTCGTTTATCCTTCGTCGGGCTGTGCGCATACCCTATGTCTAATATACGCATAGTCATATCGGGCGTTCGGATTTACGACATGCGAAATTCCCGCGACGTCTCCCCGAGATATATAATAATATGTCTGACCCCTCGTCGTACGGTTGAGTTACTGTTTTTAATATAAC